ACACACACACACACACACACACACACACACACACACACACACACACACACCACACACACCACACACACACACACACACACATATAAAATAATTTGCTCTTTTGAGGCAGGGTTTCTTTGTGTAGTCCTGGCCAGGCTGGCCTCAAACTCAAGAGAGCTCCTTCTGCCTCTGCCTCCTGAGTGCTGGGATTGAAGGTGTGCACCATCATGCCCAGCCCACTTTTCTTCTTTTTTGTTTTTTTAAAAGCGCATTAGGGCTTTAGCTCAGTGGCCAAGCATTTTCCTAGCAGTGACCCCAGTACTTCAAGGAGAAAGAGGGGAAGAGCTGTTCTGTGCTCATGCTGAAGTGTTCTATCTAGGGTTCCCACCTGCAAGAACACAGGACTCTGCTGTGCACCGTATGGAGAAGATGTGTCAGAGTCGCCTTGTTCAGGCAGCAGCAATAGTGCTATTTGCCATGAGGTCAGCAGTAAGGGTTCAACAACATGCACATGGAATAAGATGTCTTTAAACAGAATCGCATATGAAAGAAGGTTGCACATTAATAATTGATAAAAATCTCAAAGCCAGAGGCCCACAGGAACCTAACAGAATTTGTGAATTTGATGTTCAGGTATATAGAGTATAACTAATCATAGGAAGTAAGGTATGGGGAATGTGGGGGGTTGGAGGGAGAAAAGGGAAAGGGGAAATTTTGTGATTACATCTCAAGAAGAGTGGTGGCGCACGCCTTTGATCCCAGCACTTGGGAGGCAGAGGCAGGCGGATCTCTGTGAGTTCAAGACAAGCCTGGTCTACAAGACCAGGACAGCCTCCAAAGCCACAGAGAAACCCTGTCTCGAAACCTTCTCCCACCCCCCCAAAAAAAAAAAAAGAAAAAGAAAAAAAGGAGGAGGAGGAACTGTCTACTTCAGAGGAGTGGTGTGACAGTGACAATCAATGCTGGGAACACTGAGCCCAGTACTTAGGATGTGCTGAAGAAACTTATGCTGAGATTTTGTTTTTAGTGGAATTGAGCAACAAGGGGATTAAAAGGAAGGAGCCTAGACCTTTAGGCCAGGGGACCACTGAAAGGACAGAAGCTTAGTGTGGAAAGGCTGGAGGGTCACACTGTGTTGGACATCGCTGTGAAGTATCACACTGCAAGCCTTAGCTTGGCCTCACCAGACATAGCTCACCATGGTAGGGTTCCGTGTTCACAAGCCCTATGGCAGGACTGATGAGGAGGATACCCTTCACCTAAGTGGAGGGTACTAAGAGTTAAGAATTTTTTCTTTCCATGGTGCTGCAGACCAAAGCCAGAGCTGTGTGTATGTTGGGCTTCAGCCCTAAGCTAACAGCTAAGGTTGTAAAGGCATTTTGCCTCTGGGTGGACTGCTTTACAAGGATCAGCAACTCATTTCTCCTTCGCACCAACCCTGAGGGACTCGCTGTTACCAATCTAGTTTTACAGACAGGGGAAGTAAACTCACAAGTGAGAAAACAACGGTTGGAGACCCTGGGGTATTTGTGATGTTAGACAAGTCTGATGTGAGTCCCATCGCCCATTGAGGGCCTGAGCTCCATCTGTTATGACTGATGACCTCCAGATGTGTTGAAAGCGGGGGAGATGGGAAGCTAAGGAAGACTGATGAGAGCTCACTCAGGCACCAACCTCCCACTGCCGAGACTTGGACACAGGCATCCGGTAAAGCCCAAGCCCTGGCCTCCAGGCACAGGACCTGCTATCATCTGGATCTGTAGGCACTCAGGCCTGGTGTCATCTGAACAGCTGTGCTCAGGACCCAGAGGCCGGAGGCTGCATGGAGACTACAAAGATTAGAGCACACTCATCTCCACCAGACGGTAAATTAGGAAGAAGAGCAACTCACTTACCCACCGTAGGCTCATCAGCTCCGTGCTTGAATTCCTTGGGGCCTTTCCATGGTGGAGCCTACAAGGGAGAGAAGGCAGGAAAGTCAGAGTTTTCTTGATCCTATGCTAGGCCCCAACCTCCTTCCAGCTCCCCAAAGTACATGATTTCCTTACAAAACTTGGCCTCCTCCCTCTTCCCATTGTCTCCCCGACCCACAAACGTAGCCTGTCAGTGTGGGCTGCTTTCTCCCTTGTTTGGGCCTGCTGGGCTGGCTGTACCTTCCTCCACACAAGTCTCCCAGTCATCCAGTCATCTGGACTAGCAGGTGACAGGCAGGACAAAGCTGGGACAGGGACCCCTTAGTGCCATCCTGGTCCAACCCTGGTGCCACAGTCCTCACCGGAAGTGTCAAATCCAGGCTCACCAGTAGGGACCCCAGGAGCAGCAGAGCCCTCATGGCGTCTGTCGATGGTCCCACTGCCTGCCCAGGAGTGCAGATCAATAGGTCTGGGCAAAGTTCGCTGAAGCCTGGGAAGATTGGTCAAGCTCCCTGCTGGGCCTGAGGGGCATGAGCTTCATGGAAACCCCAGCAGAACGGTGACAATGAGGTAGCAACCTTGTGACAGGGGAGTTGGCTGGTGGGAGTAGAATGGTGAAGAGCAGGGTCCCTGGCCTCCCCTCTCCTGAGCACAGGGCGTTGATCTCACTAGGAAGTGCTCCAGGTCCTGTGGACTGAGAGGTAAGGGTGATTGAAGAAGCCTCCTACTGCAGAATCTTAGTCTATCAGGAAGCATGGTTGTTTTCTTCTGCTGATTACCACACATTGAGTACCCTAAAACAATGCCCCTTAAAGCCACGTTCATGGCTGCAAAGACCCACAGGTAAACACTTGGTACAGCAGGGTTAAAGTTGCTCAGACTGCCAAGAAGCTGAGGTTCAGGCTGAGCTCTCCTCTGCAGGGGGTCCCCTCAGAGATCACCTCAGGCAAAGGACCATCTGTCGTTGGTGGTGCACACACCTTTAATCCCAACACTCTGGAGGCAGAGGCAGGCAGATCTCTGTGAGTTGGAGGCCATCCTGATCTACAGAGCAAGTTCCAGGACAGCCTCCAAAGCCACACAGAGAAACCCTGTCTCAAAAAAACAAACAAACAATAAATAAATTTAACCCTTATCACCCTTAACATCTGGAGGTCTAATTTTGCTTTACAGTTCTCTTAAACACAAAGATGTAAAACTTTTGAATGTAAAGTTAACCACCAGCATAACGTTATCCACCACAAAAGCAATACTGAGCCATACAGTGGAAATGACCAAAGTTAAATGTAGTGAGACATACACACACACACACACGCACACGCACACGCACACGCACACACACACACACACACACACACACACACACACAC